CAGCGTACCCTTTTTAGGTTTATTGCTCCCCTTTCCCGTTTGTTACCGACACCTATGTATTGGAAAGATAAAGATTTGGACTGAGGGATCTTATACCCGTCTTCTCCTCTTTTCTACGGGAGTAAATCAATTCATTTTTGAGGCTAGGGTTAGGCTTAGTTTTTTGAAAGATAAATAATAAATAAAATCTTTCCATGACTAAAATATGATTTTTTTTTCAAAGTGCGTTAAGTGTCTCCATGGTAAAATATATTGATGTAGACTCTTAACGCACTTTGAAAAATTTTTTCAAAGTGCGTTGAGTTGGTCCCAAATTTAACGCACTTTGAAAAAAATTTTCAAAGTGCGTTGATTTTGTCCTAATTTTAACGCACTTTGAAAAAAATTTTCAAAGTGCGTAATTTTTTCAAAGTGCGTTGCCACAGTGCTTCAAGCAACGCGAGAGTTAAACTGCTGTTCACGAAACATTGTTTTCACGTAAATAGACTAGTAAATAAAATATACAGTATATTATAAAAATAATATCTGCATATATGTAACTTTATTAACATTCATGTGAATGTTTAAATTTTAAACATTCACAAGAATGTTAACATGGTTAATAAAAATATTGTATAGTAGAAACGATTTTATACATCAGTACATGCAGCGTAAGCTAGCATACTTGTTATATCGGCTATTTCATCTGTGTAATCACGACGAACTGATATATGTCAAGGTTGAATTCACATGATAATAAACATATGATAAGTGTAGATCCAATACTAAAAACTGGAGATTTGATGTTTCATTGTTGTTATCATTCTGTTACAGGGGATGGAAATGTTGTTGTTATGATCTCCATAAGATTTTTGAAAACTGGTATATTAATTGATTTTTCTAACATAAACATACTTGAATATCATAAAGCAGAGACAGTATGAGATACAACTTCGATTCGTTCAACATTTCTCTCGTAATGAAACTCTATGTGATATCTATGTAAATAATTATATATGTCACACTTCAGGAAAACGCACGTGGTTAATTTCTGGAAATGAATTTCAGGCGTATGTTTTAAACAGAAAAGGGTCGTTATAGTTGACAGATCATACAATACCTTTAAACAGGTATTGATCTTTCTTTAATCTATTTTAAGATCTGTAAATATTAGGCAGCTGTGGGAAAAACCTCTGCAGAATCATTTTTCAGAAAATAGAAATTATCATTTTCCTAAAAATATATTACTTGTACCTCGTAAAAGCTGCTTTCGTTTCTAGATCGTATATAAGCTCCTGAGTCTTAAATTAGAAGCTTATTTTCATTTTAAAAATTATATCGAAGTTCATCTGTATAGAGATGACATCCGTGAGTGAAATACAGACGGATGCAGATGAGGTCAATTCTCTTCTGTATGCTGCCAAAATGGGGCACTGGAATGTCGTGTGGAAGATTTTAGGACATCCCTCCAAACCCCGCAAGCCCTTCTTGTTGAATTGTATTCCGGAAAATAGGCGCTGGGGTGTCCTGCATCAAGCCATTTGGTGGAACAATTATTCAGCTGTTAATAAGTTGTTACAGTTCAACACGTGTGATATCAGTATCAAGGCCAAAGAGGGTGTCTCTGAAATTGGTCCTACTGGCGGGAAAACAGCCGAGGAAATTGCTGAGGGATTTAAACGGACTGAGATTGTTAAATTACTTCAGAATAATTTAAGTCGTCTTGGAGCTCAGAGTCCGGAGACGTATCATTTACTGCCCTCGGGAAGGGAGGACTACGCTCTCAGTCTGCTCAAGGTAACGCTAGCAGCATACAAGACGTCTTTTCAACCCCAAAATACTGAAAGCAAAACTTTTGATGAACTTCTGAGAGATGTATGGCAGACTGTTAATTCGGTACCTGGGCGCTGGAAAGTGGCGCGAGACAAAGTTGCAGAGGCTGTGTTTGTCGTCTGCGAAGAAACTTGCAATAACATTAAAGCATGCACCAAAAAGCAGGATTTCTACGAGGCCATCATCAACGCGTACACTATCGAGGAGAATTACTTGTACGATCACCTCAACACGGCACTCAGACGTCAGCGCCAGTCTGATTACAGACCAAGCGCAGACGACCTGGCCCTGGGACCCTATGTCCTGATGTACCAGCTGCTTCTTCTCTTCTGGAACAAACTCCACCGGGAGAGCTGCATCACGTACCGTAGAATGCGCGTTTCGACTGCTGATCTCGACAAATATCAAGTCGGTACTAAGTTTGCCTGGATGTCTTTCGTATCTTCCTCGGTGGAGTTGGAAAAAGCTGTCATGTTTCCGACGTGCGGTCCCACTGGTGACAGAGTGATTGTGTTTACCATTGAGAATTCGTCCTCAAGTAACTGGCAACCGAGGAACATTGAAAAGTACGCACAGTATATGGAAAAGGAAAGAGTTTTTCCCGCCGGTGCCAAATTTCTCATCACAAAAAGAACCCAAAATCAACAGCAGACAAATATTTCGTTAAAACTGATGAATGAATGAACACTGAAACTTTAATAATTGGAACATTAAAACTTTGATATAGTGTATCTCTGCATTTTTCAAGTGTCCTAAATAATATTTTAGTCAATCTTATCTGTTGAGTCAATGATCTCTATAAAATCAACAAAATAATATATATGTACCTGTATTTTTATAGATCTTTTGTTGCACCTGATCCCGCCGCTCATGTTTTCAAGAATCCCCGTTTGCTCTGCTTTCTTTTATTTATTGATTGTACTTATGACTTTATACTGTTTGTTATATTTTACATTTCATCTGTAGAGAGTTATGTTATCAATAAACACTGAACTGTGACTTGTGATTTTTTTAATACAATTTAAAAACCCACTCATTTAAATTACTACACATCTATTATAGCTATATATAAATATATATTGATTATCTTAGTTGGTGATATATATATATATATATATATATATATATATATATATATATATATATATATATATATATATATATATATATATATATATATCTATAATTTCCAAACACAGAAAGAAGTTTCTTTTGATTTCTATACTAGGAGCTTGTTTTGATTTAAAAGAGAAAATACTGCAACATGCATGATCTCGATAACTAAATTAATGTGTCGTAAGCATGCAAACCTGACACAATGGTTGATGTTGTGAGTGGAATAAATCAGGATGCTGAGGACCTGGAGAGGCTACTGGCCTCCGCTAAAATGAACGACTGGGGGCCGGTGTGGAGAATAATGGGGACCCCCTCCAATCCCAAAAAGTCGTACCTCATCAACTGCATTCCAGAGAACAGGCGCTGGGGAGTTCTGCATCAGGCGATATTCTGGAACAACACTGGCGTCGTGGCCAATCTACTGCAGTTCAAAACGTGTGATAAAAACATAAAGGCAAAAGAAGGAACTTCGGAGATTGGTGATGACGGAAAAATGTCCCCTCAAGAAGTAGCCGAAGCATTTGGACATAATGAACTCAAACCCATCCTTGATATGTATCCATACCAACTGCATGACCAGCTTCCCATCACTTTCCTACCCCTGACAAATGATGCAGAAGATTTTGGGCTCGGACTTCTCCGCCTCACGTTGTCCTCGTACAAAACTGCTTTTCACGCTGAAGTTCAGGAGAGTCATTCATTCAGCGGTCTTCTGAAAAACGTGTTCGCCAAACTCGATTCTTCTGGTGACCACTGGAAATTAATACGTGACAAAGTCCACGAGTCCGTGTATGTGATTTGTGATCAGACTTGTAGAAAAATTAGCAGTTGTAAAACTAAAGAAGAGTTTTATGCAGCCATTATAAATACTTACACTGAAGAAGAGACTTATCTGTACGATCACCTCAACACGGCACTGAGACGCCAGCGTCAGACAGATTACAAACCGACGGCGGATGATTTAGCGCTGGGACCGTACGTTCTCGTTTATCAGCTTCTTCTCTTGTTTTGGAACAAGCTCCACAAAGAACGAAGGGTCACGTACCGTAGAATGCAAGTCTCTGAAGACGACCTCGACAAATATCAAGTTGGGAGGAAGTTTGCCTGGATGTCTTTCGTATCCTCTTCGGTGGAATTGGAGAAAGCCGTCATGTTTCCGACCTGTGGTCCTTCGGGAAACAAAGTGATTGTGTTTACCATTGACAATTCGTCTTCGAGTCACTGGCAACCAAGGAATATTGAGAAGTACGCTCGGTACATGGAGAGGGAGAGAGTTTATCCCGCCGGCGCCAAATTTCTGGTGACGAAACGGACTGACGATTTATATTTGAATGAAACCAAAATTTCTTTAAAGCTTATCTGAAAAGCACATGTAGGCTTACTTTAATATTTTATTGTACTATGATTAATGACAAAGCCGAATGTCAGCAATAATTATCGTATCATGCTGTAATTTTTTTATTTACCAGGGGAAGGTAAATATTAATGCAATTAAAATTTATCATCAAGTTGTAGATTTTAGCACTTACCTAAATCCCTTAGTAAATTCAAAATTTACACAAAATAATAATGAGTTTGGTAAAATGTTTTCAGTTGTAGTTGTTGTTAGACTGGATATAATTGGAAATAAATCTTAGAGATGCAAAATAATCGTTTTCAATAAATCTTGCTTCAAAATACCCAAGGTTTTAGTCAGAGAGGCCAGAGTACATATGTAAAGTCATAATTTCTTTAATGATTTGCATATTATTGAGAAGCCCAAATATTTTTGTACAAAGTTACTATTTGAATAAACAATTCAACTTATCATACTTAATATATGTATGTATAATTTATATCAGACAGCGTTTAGATTATATATGAAAATACAAATTCTGTTGTGGTTCATAAAATAAGAAAATAATAATGACCACCTCATAGAGAAATAATTCAAGGGATATTTTTTATCTCGTTAAAATTCTTGTTTTTTGGCCTTGTGCTGATGGAAACCGTATTTTTCTTCAAAATTAGGTAAGTCAGAGAAAAATTGTCTTTTTCTGTGATTAGCTTACACCAAAGCGCCTTACTGACAATGATCGCCCCAGAGTTCCACTGTGAACATGCGCACTGCAATAAAATTAAAGAACCCGAAACATTTGGTGAAAATTGTTCATTTGTTTAATACAGAAGATCAAGCCATGATAGCCGCGATCAGCAAATAGTTGGTTTAAAATTGAAATGACAACTTCAAATCCATCAGGGAGAAAGCCGGCGCTTTGCCGTTTCTTTGTAAATAATGGGAACTGTGTTTATGGCGATGAATGCCAATTTCTCCACCAGAACCCAGGCGTAGGGTTTCAAAAACCTTTTTCAAATGGACCGATGCATTCTTCAGAAAACCAGGGTGTGCATTTTCACTTAATTTCTTTCTGATTCTTTATATTTCTTTTTTTTATACATCAAGAGTATCGAGGTTGGTAAATAACCATTGTAGATCTGCTTGTAAACAAATATTTCAAAACTAGGTCAAACAATGAATAACCTATGTTTTAGGACTTTGTTTTGAATTGGCAAACATGGCTAATGTTTAAACTAAAATTTGAGTGTTATTGCTTAGTGCACATTTTATACAGGTTGATGCATAAAAGAGTAACTTTATGTAAGTGGCAATAATGAATATTCCTCTTTGTCTGTGAAATAAACACTAGTCAAAAGTTTAGTTCATAATGACTAAAACATTGATTTCTTATTTTTCTAAAACGAAATTATTTAGTGTTTTGGTCAAAAGACCGAATAAAATGTGTAAATTAAAAGGAGTATATTTACTTTTAGTAGTAAATTTACTCAATATTTCCAAGAATAAATAGTTCATGCATGTACGTAAAATATCCAGTTCAGTTACGTTTTCTTTAGCTTTTACATGTGGACATTTGTGATTAAATTGAGTACTATGCATGCTAATATTAAGCTCGCTTGCTAAATTTATTTAGAAAAAGGTGGTAGTTTGTGAAAAGATTGTAAAGATGCCAGTTGTGCATCTGCACACATTTCGGGGCATATAACTGAAATATATTAAGTTTGGGAGGTACAAGGAAAGAGACCAGAAGTGAAAAAAGCAGGTATATTCTAGGAGCATATTTTGGAGGTAAAACAACTCAGATTACTGAACAAAGAAAATTTTTTTTTTAACTGCATTGAAGAACTATGTAAGTCTTTGTTTATCAAGATATGGGTATGAATGGTATGTTTTTATTTATTCCTTTATTATGACATAAAACAAAGGCTATGGAAAATGATTATGTATATAAATTACAGAGTTTGATTAAAGGGGCATTGAATAACTCTCCTACTCTATATACTTGTAATTTGTTGATTTCATCATTGAGAGAATTTTTTTTAAATGTTGAATCTTTGCACATGTAGAAGGTGGCACAGAGTCTCCCAGTAGTATACATTTTTGGTTTTTAAAAAAAGAGTATGTACACCATCGTCGAATACCCATGGGAGCATGATGTTGTGTTTACTGAAAGACAAGATCACCCTTGGGTACCCGACGATGTATGTACACTGACTATTAGTCATCATTTCTAATGATATATAAAAAAAAAATGAAAAATTAAATCGCAGAAAAAAAAATAAGAAAGCATATACTTTACATATTTTATATATATTAACAAGATTAAGTAACTTACTTAAAAGTTTATGATCCAGTCAATGAATTAGCTTATCACAGTCAGGTGATCTGATATGAACTTTAACCTTGACAATCAAAAGTAGGTCACCTTAGATAGCACATCTGTATACAAACAAAATAAGAATGGCTTTTGATTTAATGTTGTATATAAAGAGGATTAAATTAAATGGAGAAGTAGCAGGTTTGTGTCAGGGTACAGGAATAAAATTAACTCTCCAGGGCCATTCTTAGATTTATTTGAGGGAGAATTCTTGCCATGTTTTATATCATTGTGTACATTGGCAGCATATTTAAAATGTTATGAATTTTTTAGGTATGCCAGATTCTCTAGGGAACAATGGGGATCAGTATTTTAATGCAACGTTTGGAGGAGAAACTGTTCCTGAATTTAACCCTTTCTCTGTAAGTGCTGCTAAAAATATTTACATTTTATTTTAAACATGATAAATTAAATGGGGAGAGACTTTATGTATTTCAAGTTGTCCTTTTTTTATGCAAAATGTTAATTATGTAATATTTTGAACTAAATATGCAGTAAATGTCTCCACAAAAATGTGAGGCAAAAGCTATTGTATTAACATGATTAACCAGTTTGTTAATTGACATTTCTGCAAAATGAGGTGTAAGATACATCATGTATGTTTGTACAATTTTTCCAGAGATAAAATAAATAAATAGTAAGATAAATCATGTATTTTAAATTAAAGCTAAATTATGCAGTCAAACTAGAAAATAGCAACAGCTGTAAACCAATTTCAAAACGTTCACAATGAATATATAATAGCTTGAATATAAAATTAAATCAAAAGCTATTATGTTTATTTTTAACGTTATGGTTGTTGCGGATTAACCAGTTTGTTAATTGACATTACTGTAATACAACAATCTGTGTAAAATAATTACAAAATAAACACGAATATAACAAGACTATAAAGATGTTTCTTAAGATAATGCATCATTTCCTCCATTTGTTTATGTTTGTACAATTTTTGGTTGTAGTTAAGATGCAATCACTATACAACAGAGATGGCAATTAATTAAAATAATTTATGAAACCCTAGTAAGATAAATCATGTATTTTAAGTTAAAGCTATTTGATTAATTGACATTTTTGCATAATAAGTTGTAAGATACATCATGTATATGTACAATTTTTCAGAGACCACCCATGGGACGCCCTGGGCGGAGCATGCTGGGACCCTCCGGCCCGGGGCCAAACTTTGGACCTGGTAACCATGGTAACCCCCGTATGGACCTGGCCTCGGGGGAGGGGAGACTAGACTGTCCTCCGGGCGGACAGATGAGGGTAGATAACTTCCGGTCAGACAGCGCTAGGATGGATCATGGGTTAGCGTCAGATTTCGCAGCGTTAAACCTTCAGATCCCGAGCAGTACTAAGGTACATTGTGGTGTCTGATTTGTGTGTATTGTATTTATTTTTCTTATGCATCAGTTTTCATCTTCCTTATTTTTATGCTTATTTCTGTTAACCATGCTTTGACTTGTTTTTACAGGGACCAAACCCAATTGCCAATGAGTTTATCCCAAAGTCTTCATCTCTAAGTCATAGTGCTAGCTCCCCTAACTTCTCAACCATCAACGGGAATGGATACGTCCCACCCCACACGAATGGGCCACCACCTCCACCACCCATGATGATGGCTGGGGGTCAGGAAAATCACAACATGGCAGCTGGGGTACCACCCAACAGTATGATGATGTCAAACACCCCACCCCCTCATTTAGTGCCTACAAGTAAGTGTCTGAAGTCAAATCACTAATACCTGAGAGACACTTCCTTCACGTTGGAAGTGTTAAAACTAATACATTCTTTGAACAAGTATTGAAGTTAGAAAAACTTTTTCTATCTATGGTACCAGTATATGAGAGAGATGTAGTTACCACTGAAGATATTATGTAATAATATAGATTTGATAGTTACCCCTGTGTTGGTCTTTTACTGTGTTAATATTGACATTAACTATTGACTTGGAGTGCTCTAAGTATTAGATATATACATTGTGTATATATATTAATGACTCGTGTTGTTCATGTTTCAGGTGGGGTGAGTCTGTCCACCAACAGTCCTAGCCATAGCCCTCACCTGTCTCCCTCCAACTCCCCGCTAATGATGCGACGGACCGCCTCCCCCATAGCACCCCTCAAGCAAACCAACACCCCCAAAAAATCAAACAGTGCCACCATACAGGTAAATACACAAAGATTAGGGGGGAGGGGGGATGTTACCCAAAACATTTAAGAAATGATAAAACAGTACCATCGTGCAGGCAATAATACAGATGTTGGAAATATGTGTGTTAGGTTGTGGGGTAACTAGTAACTACACAAAGAGATGGGAAGGGGGGTTAGTCTACACACCAAAACAATTGTACAGTTCTACCTTACACACAAATACACATAGATAGGGGGGAGTGAATGTTAAATGAATGGTTTGTCAAAATAAAAGAATTTCAAATTCTGTGGAATCACAATTTTTCTTGGGGGTTTAATTTTTGTTGTTTCCTTGGCATGAAGAGATCCACAAATTCATATTCTCAAAATTTCATATCTTTGAATAAATAGAAACTTGGCAAAATAAAGATCAACTTGACACTTCTCCATGCACAAAATGAAATCCCTACATACATGTACTAATATTTTTTCCTCAAACCACAAAAAGTTGACCCCATGAAAATGCGTGATTTTACAAAATATACCATTAAAGTATATACTGTTTAGTAATAGCTTTATACTAACTTCTCAGAGGAGAAAACTTTTTCTATAGCAGGGATGTGTATCTCGGCATACAAATTAATTTTACTTAATTCTTTCAAGAAGGATCTATGCATATACCATGTATACATTTAAATGTTAATATCCTTGAGTTTATAAAGAAAACTTCTTATTTCTCCTGATTAACTGTATTTTTGCCTTGTTTCTACAGGAGAATGTAGGTGGCACGACCTATTTTTATTCCCCCGAGGACTTTAACCCTCAGCAGGAGGCCAATGTAAGTATTACCCTGAGATTGGCCCCCACAGAGGCGCCACAGAATCGTAGGCCTCAGGCAAAGATATTGTTATGGAGGCCTGTTGATTTTTCTTTAATTTGTCTTTAATTCAAATATTTTAAGCTGTAAACAATAAAAAAAAAATGCATTATGTTCATCTTTTTGACATATATGTGAATGAAAATATGGTTGTCTTTAATATTGTGGAAGTTCTTGCAACAATTTTTGCTTTAATGTTAAATATATTTACAGATCATGGTTTATCTGTCATGTTGGATTATTTCCTCTGAGAATTACTTATAATTTTATGAATTTTACTTTCTATTGATCTCTTGTATATTTGATGTTATTCCTGACAAAAAAGGCAGAGAAATGACAACAAAATAAGATGGAATATGTTTTATGTTTTTATTTTTAGCAACTGCCGAATTTCTCCATGTTTCCGAGTCTCCCACCACACATAGCCCACTTAACTGTCAAAAAGAACATGCCGCAATTCCACATGCCGGACGAACTCAAAATGGTACATAATACATTATTTTGTATCAGTATTTATATGTGATTCTATACACATGTGTACAAGTGATATATAATTATAATATTTCATGTATGCACAATTTGTAAATTTTCCATTTCAATCTTTAGCAGTAACTTAAACTTGGGAAATCAAAAGTACATTGATTTGAACATAAAAATTTGTTATTTCTCATCATATTTCTGCATACATTTTGTATGATTCTGTTTATGCTAGAGTTATGTCCCATTGAACATAAATGTTTACAGATGTATTTAATCTAATGTAAATGTGTTTTAACAGGATATCCTGAATAGACATGCTTTAACGATGGCGCAACTGGACACAACCAAAGTTACAGGTAATGGGCCAATATAAAAAAAATATTTATGGAGTGTTTGCTCTCGAACCTCTAACTCTCTGACGCCAGTACCAAGATCTTCAAGAATCACAATTTAAAAATTTGATCATTCTGTGTAATGGAAAAGATTAATGAATGCGAAGCATGATTGTAAAAAGATGCTAATAAAAATTTTTAAAATGAGCACACCGTAATTGATATTGTGTACCATGTATCAAACTTATCCCCCAAAATCTCACTGAATTGATACCACAGTGAACTCTTAGTATGTATGAATTGAATATTAAGTCCTTGATATTTGTTGAATTTGAAAGCTTTTAAGAATAATGATTTTCTTTCTCAATTAATTCCTAATTGTATAGGGATTAATGAAATGCTTTTATGATTTCAGATATTCCTTCAGAAGTGGACAACTACTATAACCTTTTCCCCTTAGAACCCCCACTTGCCAACCCAATGCAGAAATCCAACACTTTTGGCTACCCCACCACGTGTTATAAAGCAGTCAATCTCAAAGACGGACTCACTTACTGCTAAGTCGAGTTCATGGTAAGTTTCACAGCTATATGAATGTGATATGTGTGTTAAATTGCACATTAATTTATGCTTGCAAAATTATTTTGATGTTAGAAATTCTTTTTTATGAAAGATAGATATTGTTAGGAAGGATATTGCATTTAGAATAAAGTCTGTGTTTATTACCTAATATATTTCATGTTGTATATGTGTGTGAAATTGCACATTAATTTGGGGAAATTCAAAATTATTTTGTGTTAAAAGGATTTTGTTTTTTTAAAAAAGTTGGTAGAACACTCTGACAGCTAAGTGAAGTTGATGATTTAATGTACTTGTTCTATTTGTACATGTATCTCTGATATGACACACACACAAAAAAAATTACACATTCTTAAAGTTAGTTGGACAAATTCCTAGTTATTTAGAGTTCTGGCTCTCTAAATATGACTTTTGATACAGATGAAATTATACAAATGAGAAACACTAATTCTACTAAGTCTTGTCTGCATGCATGTAGAACCATTTCAAGCTTAGTTTGGACTTTCAGTAAGGCGTGGCATTCTTGGCGCTACATGTTTACCGCCTGTCAAACGGCGAATAGATTCTCATTGGTTAAGAAATTAATAACATCAGGAACTTTAAATTGTTGTTTTCAACAATGAGGTGACTTAAGCTCCACCTCTTTGCAAGAGGAAACAATGGAATTGGTTATTCGATACATTAATTGGCATTTGCCCGATATAGATGTATAATTCAACAGTGAAGGAAAGCTGTGTAACTTTTAGAAGCTAATTACGTAACGTCGAGAATGCCACGCCTTAATGAAAGTCCAAACTAAGCAGGAAATGGTCCTAAATGATATTTAGACACATAATTTTGAATTTGATAGTATACCAATAATTTATATAAATGAAAATTCCTTTTCTTTCACAGGTTTCCGGTTGTCAAACACAAAATGCATGAGCATAATTGACATGTGGAAAAAGATGTACCACCCTAACATTGTACAGCTGCGGGAAGTGTTCACGACAAAAGCTTTTGGGGATAATTGTAAGTCTGCTATAGACACTCTGTCATAACTCTCTAAATATTAAACAACTTAAGAAAAATAATCTAATGTACTGTTTTCTTATGCATACAGAAATGTACTAACTATGGGATATTGCAAGTTAAACTAGAAAATATATTGATACTCAGATTTAAGTTTCTCTTTGATTACTTCCTGTGTTCTTTTGATAATTTCAGCCATTGTGTTTGTGTATGACTTTTTCAGCCATTGTGTTTGTGTATGACTTTTTCAGCCATTGTGTTTGTGTACGACTTTTTCCCGGGAGCAGAGACGCTGACATTGAAGCACTTTAGTGGTCCGGGTGGAATGAATGGTTACAACAGTGCATTTAACATGGAGGGCGGGGGGTCATCTAGGTCCTACAACTCCAGTAACAAAGGTAGACAACTCACATGTTCTATTGTTAATTATTGGACCTGAAATAGTAGGAAATTGTTCTGCTTGTCATTTAGATGATATGATGTTGAATACTTGGTTAAAGATAAATGTGAACGTCTACATTATCATTGATTGTTTAAGTTTACAATCGTATTTCTCCAGGACTAAATGGACCGAGGCAGCACGCAGGGTTACTCCCGGAGAGCATGATCTGGGCATACGTCGTCCAGCTGAGCTCGGCCCTGAGGGCTATACACGCCGCTGGCCTGGCATTCAGGACTATGGACCCCAGCAAGATTCTCATCTACAGCAAATCAAGGTACTGACCAAGGGAAGATAATATGTCAATCACTAAATCTTGTTCTTTTGTGAGGAACTTAGCTTAAGTAATTTCCCCCCCCCAAAAAAATTAAGGTATTTTATACATGCGTATGTATTATTTTTGTGCTTTTAAAAATAATGCTTATTTAATTTAAAGTGTTTAATGATGTATTCCAGGATACGATTAAATTGTGTTGGCATTTTGGACGTGTTGACATTTGACAGTCAGGGAAACCCTCTGGTGGCCATACAGCACTATCAGGTATGGAAAGAATTCAGTTGATACATTATACTGATAAATCAACTATTTTGTTGGGGTTTAATTTTAATTGTTTTCTTGCCATAGAAACGGTTGGAAATGCGGGGGAGACATTAACGCGTTTATTATCATAATTCTTAATTCATGAAATAAGTCCGCCCTATGTGGTATGTAAAACCATGATTACATTTGTGTGAGAGTTTTAATTTTACTGTATTTATATTTGATTTATGCTTCTTTAACTACACACACGTAGTAGTATTTATTGACAAAGGCTTGGGAAAAATGCATTTAGTTACTGGTTTTCCAGTGGCATAAGAAATTTAAGAAAAACAGAACTTCCATGGACGTTGAGAAAATTTGTGTGGTCGCTTTTTAAGGTTCTGTTGAAGTATGTATCCTCAAATTTTTCGTTGTCGGCTGCCGTACTGTTCTTGACATTGCTAATGAAATTGGAACATCATATGGAAAGATGGATAGTATTTTGAAATATGAGTGAAAAATGGAAAAATGTTTTGTAGATTTTTATAATTGTTTGGGCGAGATGCTTCTGTGTTTATCTAACTTGACATAATTTTCAAAAGCTGCTGGTAATTGGATAGTGAAATTTTCCAGTATTTTTTTAAACTATATTAAATACTTTAATTATCAAATTACTAAAATTTTAGGATCAACCCTCGAGAATAAAATGGATAATTTTCTTGGGATTTGATTTTAATTGTTTTCTTTATTTAAAGAGTCCCACTAATTTATGTCCACCAGAACAAGATGAAATGTAAAATTTCATATGCAAAACTTCTCATTAGTTTTCTAATCTAAGAAAAATCCCACTATTCGCACAATTTTATGTTTACTTCTGTGTTTATCACATAGTAATGCTGTAGTGATATTTTTTTAACTGTTGAGTATTGATACTTTAATTATACATGTATCTGGATACTTGAGATAGTTTTAATGATGTATATACACTACCTGTATTTTTAGCTGTATATATACCTGTATTACAGCAAGAAGACCTGATGTATCTGGGTAAAGTTGTCCTGGCTTTGGCATGTAACACAGTCATGGCCATCAAGAGAGACAACTTCCAGAACTCCATGGAGCTAATCGCCAGGAATTACTCAGCCGATCTGAAAAACTTCTTCTTGTAAGTTTACAGTCATCAGAGTGCAAAAAAAATACATCCCCCCAAAAGGTTTTCTGAGGAACTTTTGTTGTAGTTTTTGTGATACCAACAATTTTTGCAGTGATAAAATTATATTTTAGATCTTGTTGAACATCTGTTCAATAATCTTCAAATTAAGATGGTCCTTGTAATCAGTTGATTTGTATATTACAACTATGATATAATGTTTAAGTAGACTTTGTTTTGTATCTTCTGATTGGTCCATTGTAGGTACCTCTTAACCAATCAGAGTCGACCTCGCAGTATTAATGACATCATGCCTATGATTGGGGCTCGATTCTACACTCAGCTGGACTCGGCTCAGTTAAGGAGTGATGTCATCGAGAATGAACTCACCAAGGTAAATCGGCAGAAAAGAATTCTTTCTGATTCCAATTTATATAATCTTTGAGATAAAGTTTAGAATTTCTTAACTTTTAAATGTTTTAGTGAAGCTTTTGTTAAAATAGCTAAACATTACCTTTGAATACATGTATTTGACAATTTGTAATGTAATACAGGAGGTTGAAAATGGACGTTTGTTCCGTCTTCTGGCCAAGTTAGGAACCATTAACGAAAGACCAGAGTAAGTAACCTTTTGGAATTAATCTGACTGAAATAAAATGATATGAAAACTTTGTGCCTATGTATGAGTGCATATAAAGAATTTTTTTATAACATCACAATTTTTTTTTCTTGAAAAATTTTAATTGCAAATTTCTGGTGCATGATTTTTCAAAAGAATTGTGTGCCATGTTTGTTGTAAATGGATTATATGGATGATATTTGCTATACAAACTTTACAAGAAATCAGTTACATGGTTGGGGGGGGGTGATTTTTAACAGCAAATACTTTATGTCAATGTTAAAGTTATAATACTTAACGATGAGCGAACACTTTCAGATATAACCTGGACATGCAGTGGTCTGAGACTGGCGACAGGTACATGCTGAAGCTGTTCAGGGATTACCTATTCCACCAGGTGGACGAGACAGGTGCTCCCTGGATAGACATGGCCCACATTGTCCAGTGTCTGAATAAGGTAAGAACACAGGTGTTACAGTGATAGACATGGCCCACATTGTCCAGTGTCTGAATAAGGTAAGAACACAGGTGTTATAGTGATAGACATGGCCCACATTGTCCAGTGTCTGAATAAGGTAAGAACACAGGTGTTACAGTGATAGACATGGCCCACATTGTCCAGTGTCTGAATAAGGTAAGAACACAGGTGTTACAGTGATAGACATGGCCCACATTGTCCAGTGTCTGAATAAGGTAAGAACACAGGTGTTACAGTGATAGACATGGCCCACATTGTCCAGTGTCTGAATAAGGTAAGAACACAGGTGTTACAGTGATAGACATGGCCCACATTGTCCAGTGTCTGAATAAGGTAAGAACACAGGTGTTACAGTGATAGACATGGCCCACATTGTCCAGTGTCTGAATAAGGTAAGAACACAGGTGTTACAGTGATAGACATGGCCCACATTGTCCAGTGTCTGAATAAGGTAAGAACACAGGTGTTACAATGATAGACATGGCCCACATTGTCCAGTGTCTGAATAAGGTAAGAACACAGGTGTTACAGTGATAGACATGGCCCACATTGTCCAGTGTCTGAATAAGGTAAGAACACAGGTGTTACAGTGATAGACATGGCCCACATTGTCCAGTGTCTGAATAAGGTAAGAACACAGGTGTTACAATGATAGACATGGCCCACATTGTCCAGTGTCTGAATAAGGTAAGAACACAGGTGTTACAATGATAGACATGGCCCACATTGTCCAGTGTCTGAATAAGGTAAGAACACAGGTATTACAGTGATAGACATGGCCCACATTGTCCAGTGTCTGAATAAGGTAAGAACACAGGTGTTACAGTGATAGACATGGCCCACATTGTCCAGTGTCTGAATAAGGTAAGAACACAGGTGTTACAGTGATAGACATGGCCCACATTGTCCAGTGTCTGAATAAGGTAAGAACACAGGTGTTACAGTGATAGACATGGCCCACATTGTCCAGTGTCTGAATAAGGTAAGAACACAGGTATTACAATGATAGACATGGCCCACATTGTCCAGTGTCTGAATAAGGTAAGAACACAGGTATTACAGTGATAGACATGGCCCACATTGTCCAGTGTCTGAATAAGGTAAGAACACAGGTGTTACAGTGATAGACATGGCCCACATTGTCCAGTGTCTGAATAAGGTAAGAACACAGGTGTTACAGTGATAGACATGGCCCACATTGTGCAGTGTCTGAATAAGGTAAGAACACAGGTATTACAGTGATAGACATGGCCCACATTGTCCAGTGTCTGAATAAGGTAAGAACACAGGTGTTACAGTGATAGACATGGCCCACATTGTCCAGTGTCTGAATAAGGTAAGAACACAGGTGTTACAGTGATAGACATGGCCCACATTGTCCAGTGTCTGAATAAGGTAAGAACACAGGTGTTACAATGATAGACATGGCCCACATTGTCCAGTGTCTGAATAAGGTAAGAACACAGGTGTTACAATGATAGACATGGCCCACATTGTCCAGTGTCTGAATAAGGTAAGAACACAGGTGTTACAGTGATAGACATGGCCCACATTGTCCAGTGTCTGAATAAGGTAAGAACACAGGTGTTACAGTGACAGACATGGCCCACATTGTCCAGTGTCTGAATAAGGTAAGAACACAGGTGTTACAGTGATAGACATGGCCCACATTGTCCAGTGTCTGAATAAGGTAAGAACCCAGGTGTTACAGTGATAGACATGGCCCACATTGTCCAGTGTCTGAATAAGGTAAGTACACAGGTGTTACAGTGATAGACATGGCCCACATTGTCCAGTGTCTGAATAAGGTAAGTACCCAGGTGTTACAGTGATAGACATGGCCCACATTGTCCAGTGTCTGAATAAGGTAAGAACACAGGTGTTACAGTGATAGACATGGCCCACATTGTCCAGTGTCTGAATAAGGTAAGAACACAGGTGTTACAGTGATAGACATGGCCCACATTGTCCAGTGTCTGAATAAGGTAAGAACACAGGTGTTACAATGATAGACATGGCCCACATTGTCCAGTGTCTGAATAAGGTAAGAACATAGGTGTTACAATGATAGACATGGCCCACATTGTAAAATGTCTAAATAAGGTAAGGACACAGGTGTTTCAGTGACAGACATGTCAGACCCATTTATGGGCCTGTTTCAAAATTACCTTGGCATACAGTGGGTCACAAAGTCTTGTTTCTCCCAAGAAAAACATCCCTTATTGTCCAATGTCTCGTTAATATAGAGAATGTGCTACATTCGTTTGTTTTGTAAATATATTTCATTCATTTCTGCTAGAAGTTAGATTAATTTTAGGATTCACTCATGCTCATGATACAAAATTTAAATATCTCAGAATGAATATCTTTAAAATTTTAAGAGATGGTTATCCCATAAGATGAAAATTTTTCTTGTCATTTCAGCTGGACTCGGCCTCTCCAGAGAGGATCTGTTTGACGTCTCGAGATGAACAGAGTGTATTAGTGGTGACTTACGCTGAACTCAAGCTAAACTTTGAGCGTGCATTCAGTGAACTACTCACAACAACAACCCAGACCCACGCCACATTCACGTAGCCGCGGGGAAATCTAGATCTGTATCAAAATTGTTTTCTTTCTCATGACCCTGAAGATCTTACAAAACTTTTTCCTCTTTTGCAAAAAAAAAGTGCTGGTCAGTATTTGAACCAAAGGACACCTGACTTGATATTCACCTGATCAAAATTTTTATATTTGTGTATAAAGTTGCAATATTGACTGCTCAGATCTCGCTTACAATGGCCGAATGTTGTGTTTGGAGGCTGATTTATGGAGTATTGTGCTCTCGCATTCAAGTGCTTGTCAGAACCTAGGCAGCAATCTCTACTGGAGTATTCCACCAGGAATCACTGGGTGAACCGAATGGATTCAGAGCAAATGTTAATTTATTTTTTAATTGCTTAAACAAAATGAATAGCATGTCAATGATGGCCCCTTAGGAGGCTGGACATTTTGGAGAGAAATTTATTATTTTGTGTATTTATTTGTATTTAATGCATTTTTATTGTTGATAGATATTACTGTTGATTTAAATGTGATGAGTTTTGGGCATTGTGGAAAACACACATATAAACATGATAAATGGCAGCAGTATAGCCTGGGAAGGGAAGATTTTCTGGAGAAAAACTGTATCTTGGTTTGTTTTTCAAAAGAGCTCCACATGTAGATGTGTGGGAGATGGCTAGCAGTTTGAATGATTAACTGATCCTATTGACTTGTACATTGGGCTCTGACTGACAGTCTGTTTTCTCTTTATTATTTCCAAAGGGACAGAACTCTTATTGACTGTGTTGGCCTTATTAGGTTGACATTATTGGTGTGTGATGGATTATCTGCTCATATTAATGACAGCTTTATCTACATATCCTGCCCATGTTAACATGAACTGATTCAAATTCTTACATTTTTTGCATTTGTGCAATACATATTTGTATTTAATGCAAATTTTGGCATGTCGCATTGTATGTCCTAGGGCTCATTGTGTTCAAATGTGTGAAATGTTGAAATTTCAGGCAATGAAATGGAAAATTTTTATTTAAATCATGAATTTTAAAATTGACTTCAATAATAAGATTGAAATGGTTAAAACAGAAGTGTGAGAAAAATTGAAATTTGATTTTTGTAGGGTCATTACGTTTCTTATTAAGCCCTAATATAATGTTGTGATAACATTTTTAATGGTATTATTATATTTTAAATTGTGCTACTTAGGTTCCTTTGAATGCCTTGGTTTACACGTAGGCTTTATTTAAGCCTAGAAGAATTACATAGCTTACGCAGTTAAAACATTTATGTGATGTTAAGATAAACCATTGATTGTAAACAGAAGCATTCTGAGTCTCTCACATGTTTATTAATCACTTAAATCGCTGTTTTACTGTGAAGGGGTGTTATTTATTATGAAAGTGTTTCAATGTTGCCAACCTTATGATCTCTAAAATGAAGATTCTTTTTCATGTCCGCAAAGAGAAAGTGACATTTCTTTTTCATCTTGGTTATGAGAAAATGCCATTGGTCATTAGAAATATGGAGGAAGATTGGGTACAGTTGGTTATGAATAATGTTGGACATGTAAAGATTCTTAGATTTCCCATTAAATGTTAGTCTATCAGCAACATTGAAATACTGATTAATTTTAACAAAACTTGGCAGCATGTTTTTTCTGTTGTTGACCTGGCCTGTACAGAATCTGAAGACAAGTGTACAGGTGAAATATTTTTATGATGACAAAATGTTAAAAAATACCAAATAAAAAATAATAAAATATTGAATAAAATTACTCCAGTGTTTTGTTTTCATTTCAGTAATGAATCTCGGCTTAAACTTGGGGTGGTTATTGAAACAAGTCCTTTTGATTTACAGAGACAGTGTAATAATACTTTTCCAAAACGCTCTTTGTATCTAAAGAACTATATGCGGTATATTGCATATATTTGCCCCCACAAAAGTCAAATTTTGAAAACTTCCTGATATGTGCTGAATTCAATAAATTGTATGAGAAATATGAATTAACAGAAAATATTATAGTGTCAAAGCAGTGTATTCACAATTTTTGTTTTTATGACGTCACAAACTAGTCCAATTTTATATCCTTTTTCAGAAAGAGGACAAAATGGACAAAATTTCAACAATTTTAGCTTTAAAATTTATAGAGCGCAAGTTTGTTCAGAAACAATATTGACATATTTCATTGATATTATCATTCTACACTTTTTATCAAAATATTGATCCTGAACACATATGCGCTCGGTGACTTTTTCTCAAAATATCGACAAAATATGTACATTTTTCTGTATAATTCATAAAAAACTGAAATTTACGTCATGTTTGTGACGTCATTACGTACATATGGCGTCATTACTTATGAAAATATTCAGTGCTGTGAAGTCAGCATATACTCCCCTGTTTAAGAACTTAATTAAATATATCTCCATCAAAGTTTGATTTGGGGGGCAAATATTGGTTATTACCGAATAAAGTTCTTTAACAGAAAGCTGAAATAACTTTTTTCTAGTGTGTTAATTTGAAGAGTGAATACACATATAAATGTTTGCTCTAGAATCAAAATACAGGTGTACATTGTATTAATTTCATGAGCAAAGGCCCTATCCATGCAATGAAGCAGCAAAGAGTTTAGACTTAAATATTTTCAGTTTTAAATGATATACTAGTATGCAGAACTTGTCTAATTTTTCTGTATTTATGAGACTTTAAAATACTAGGAACTCGACACCAGGTGGCCATGAGGAGGGATGGTAATGTCGGAAATACTTTGCTTAATGACTTTAGCTCAATTAAGTTGAAGACCTTGTTTAGTGGGAGTTACGAAAAAGGAGAAAAGAACAAGGCGTAATCAGCTGTGGGTTTCCAACCATGCTTAATCACGGACATAAAATTTACGTAATGCTTACCGGTACTTTGACTGATTTTATTGAAATCTCTATCACATCAACTTATGTGTCAGTGTTATGTGTGAGCAACCCGTGTTATTCAGAGATAACGTATAGTGGGGTATTTTTTTGGGGGGGGGGATATTTTCGGGTTTTTACGATTTTTACTAATTATAATCATGATGAATAAGTGTAATAAATATAAGTTGTGAAAAAATGATGAGGTTTAATATCGGGGGGGGGGGGGGGGGGGGGGTCCTGTCCACAAGTACCTGTGATCCTGTTATCATTGCTAGTTTTTTTTTTTTCAATAAAAAAAATTCGAACATATACGAGTCTTTGTGATCAACGTTATATTGAGTTTAGTGTCCAATCTACCTATGAACTAAATTAAAATTATATTGCTAATAATAATTATAGTATATTGACAATTACCATGTCGGCATATAGTGATGAACATGAATAACATAACATAAATTAACACAATTTATACAAGCATATACAAATTGAGAAATATGAGGTGAACAAAATTGTGTATTTCTCAATATTAATATTCATTTTTAACTTTCTTTTCTGATGTCAAAGCACTTTTTCAAGAAACAACATATCCTTCTAGCAGTTGAAATATTTGTAAGATTGACATTTTTTTCTAATGGGGTTATCACTAGTATATGCGTTTACACTAAATATATCATTATAATTGCATCTATATTGATCTGCATACTTTGGACAATAAAGAACAAAATGTTTTTCGTCTACAACAAACAATTTACATGAATAACATAAGCGTTTTTCTCTAGGAATAGAGGGTTTACAGTATCTACCCGTTTCAATATACAGTGGGTGGGCACTGATCCTTAATTTTGTTAATAAAGATCAACTTTTTTCAGGGGTAGTTTTAAATAACTTTGCAGTTTGTATTCATCTTGATTCACAATTTTGCTATAAAATGCTAACTCTCCAGAGTCTGATTTGCTAACATTTTTCAGTTGTTCATATATCTTGTTTTGGTAATGCTCTTGTAATTTGTTTTTCAAAGTTATGCGAGATATTTCCAAAGAACTAATATTTAATTTTTGTAGCAGTGAAGACAGTTTTTTTTGCCAAGATATTTTAGATACAAGATTTTTGTCTTCTTTAAATGCAGAAACCACTAAATAATTGTTATAATCATGTTTGCATTCCATTTCCTTCAGTCTCATATAATATTTTAACATATATATTTATAACATAAATAGTACAAAGGAAAACGACCCAACTCACATAAAACAGCAAGATTTGATGCCTTTCTAGGTACCCCTAGTATATCTTTAAATATCAAGTGCTGTGTTTTTTTTCAAAAGGAAACTGGTCTGAAGACATTAAATCACATTTAAAGTCAGTTATCCATATTTCAGATCCATATGTTATAATTGGTATTATCATTGATTGATATAATTTCAAAATAATTTCAGCAGAAAAATTAACATTTGCAGGAAAATTTGATTTATAGTATTTATTTGATTTTATTTGATTTTGAGTGTAACTAATACTTATCTTCTTTGAAATAAATACATGCGTAAATACTTGTATTTTAAATACAGTCCATTACATACGGATACGGTAACGTTGCAAACTGTGACATTATATCGAATATTCTAACATGGTAAATATATCACGATCAATGCTATATTTTGGTTTTGTATTCCACCAATATGTCACCAGGAATTACGCATAAAAAATATCATCAAACTGCTATAAAAGACAAATTCGTAGAAGATTCAGTGTCCAACAATTTCTGCATTGACGTGGTGATAGAGGGTAAGTTATCACTTTATTAATCATTATCCATGCTTATTATGATTTTTTCAATTTTTTTTATCTCATTATCAGAATTCATTTATAAGCAAAGGCGAATTTTACTGGCAAACCTCTCTTTAGAGTTTGATTATTGTTAATTTGTAATTAAAATACTGAAAAGTGTTAATTCAAGTATTGTACGGCATTATACAGAGGCGCTGTCTGTGATAAGGAAGCATTATATGTACATGCCTTTAGTTATTGTAATTTTATAGATTTGAAATCACAATTAATGTTCTTGACGAAAGTTAAATATATAATTCATTTTTTTTTGAAATCCATTAGAAATCCACGACGTTCAAATCTCTATAACAAACGCGAAACCTTGTCAACGCGAGGTATTCAATTTGTCCGGCAGGCACGGGGGGGGGGGGGGGGGGTTTTTCCCCAAACATAACTTATCATTGAAATTGTTCTTTGAAAGGCTGCTTGGATCCCCACTTTTTACTACAGTAAAATGATATAAGGGAAATGTACAGTATTGTATGCCAAAAAAATTGGTACTGAAAGAAGCTGGCATTGAAAAAAGGTTGTTTTCTACCGCCCCTCCCCCCTCCCCATGAAATAGGATTTTCGAGTTTGGGCAATGCCCTTTATTTATTTTATCTTGTCAACGTATTCGGGTAAGTAAAATTCTTTTTTTTTCTCTGGCTGCCCCCCCCCCCCCCACTTTCAATGACGATGTTACGTCACTGTGTCGGCACTGCCCATGTGTGTTATAGGACCGCAGACATCCAAAAATATGAATTCAATGCTAAAATAATGAACTTGCCCTGAAATTGAAATGAAAATGGAGTACATGTATTTTGCAAAAAATCCGTATTGTTTTAAATAATACGGTAGATATAATATGAATAGGATAAAGGACAATATAACAGTTACTTTCAAACCACGAAGAGCTAGGGACATTAAACAACATACAATCAATCAAACTAGGAAGAGGAAACTGTTGATTTGTTTACCCTGTTTTCTTAATTCATATAAAATAATTAAAGTATCTTTATCTTAGTATGAGCTCAACATGCTCAATGTACATTTTTTTTCCAGAAACTTCAAAATGAGATTCATTTTTCTGGCTATGGTGATTTTTCTGGCTCAGCATTCTTGCGAGGGATGTTGCACGTGTAACTGCGGTACGGCCTATGTATCCTGCATAAAGCTATGTAACAATATAACAGATTTTTGGGAAAAATACAACTGCATGATTGGTTGTCAGAATGAGTATGGAGCGTGCCTGAGAGGTTGTCGTAGGAGATGATGAATGGTTTTTTCTATTGCAGAAAATATCTTTATGTGTTGAATATTGTAAACACAAAATTAATAGTTCATCTTCTATTAAATAAATGTTAAAATATAGTTTGTTTTCAATTGAGCATTAAGTGTAAAATGCAAATAGATAATAGTCAAATTGAAAAAAAAATCCATATTTATCAGATTAAATTTTGTGATTGGAAATTGGTCCTGTATGAAATAAATATTTTCGAGGTATTAGAGGTGTGTAGCCTTAATCATCTTCCAAAGGATGATTAAGATACTTGGTAAAATGTAAGAGAAGTTCAGGGAACCTGACAATTGATGAAAATCATAATTTTTAAACCATTATTTGTTATTTCTGTGAAGGGGTGTTATTTATTATGAAAGTGTTTCAATGTTGCCAACCTTATGATCTCTAAAATGAAGAATCTTTTTCATGTCCGCAAAGAGAAAGTGACATTTCTTTTTTTATCTCAGTTATGAGAAAATGCCATCGGTCAATAGTAAAACTAAAGTTAAAGTTAGTTTTGATAAATGTTGGACATGTGAAAGTTCTCCGATTTTCCATTAAATGTAACATAGTTAGTCTATCAGCAACACTGAAATACTGATTAATTTTAACAAAACTTGGCAGCATGTTTTTTCTGTTGTTGACCTGGCCTGTACAGAATCTGAAGACAAGTGTACAGGTGAAATATTTTTATGATGACAAAATGTTAAAAAATACCAAATAAAAAATAATAAAATATTGAAGAAATAACTCGAGTGTTTTGTTCTCAATTCAGTAAAAGATCTT